ATATATATATATATATATATATATATATATATATATATATATATATATATATATATATATATATATATATATATATATATATATATATATATATATATATATATATATATATATATATATATATATATATATATATATATATATATATATATATATATATATATATATATATATATATATATATATATATATATATATATATATATATATATATATATATATATATATATATATATATATATATATATATATATATATATATATATATATATATATATATATATATATATATATATATATATATATATATATATATATATATATATATATATATATATATATATATATATATATATATATATATATATATATATATATATATATATATATATATATATATATATATATATATATATATATATATATATATATATATATATATATATATATATATATATATATATATATATATATATATATATATATATATATATATATATATATATATATATATATATATATATATATATATATATATATATATATATTAAATTAAACATTCAATGGTATTTCATTAACATCTACCCCTCACAGTAATTTAAAAACTGTAATTATAGTGAGAATTGTTTATATTTACTTAATTACATATGTTCATTTTATATTTTATTGATGTCTACCTCTATACCAACCCTAAAAATACCCCTCACAGTGATGTAAAAATATGAGTTATTGTTGCACAGTATCATAACAATTATGCTATAATGATGTGAGGATGTCACTTCTATAGTTTTCTTTATATAAAACATTGCTGCTTATTTTCTAACACAGAAATAAGAGGCAGTACGATCGCCTTGCAGAATATCTAGTAACATATGATGTACTGTCATCATGGCAAAGATAAAAGGAATCAGTTATTAATACACTCCCTGACAGAAGTCTTGTGCTGGATCCTCCAGTTGAAGAGCAGCAGATAATAACTGGTCTTAAATTGATCATTTGGTGTCAGAAGGTGGATTTCTCTGCTGGATCATCTGCTGATCTGCATCCCAATCATCACCAATACTGCAGAAGACCTACTGGAACCAGCATGGACCAAGATTCTCACAGAAATCAGTCAAGTTTGGTGAAGTAGAAAGCATGGTTTGGGGTTCATTCAGTATGGGGGCGTGCGAGAGATCTGCAGAGTGGATGATCAACATCAACAGCCTGAAGTATCAAGACAGCTTGTGCTGTCAACATCAAGACATGATCAGATTTTATTGAGCTCAAATCAGCAAAATCAAGAGGCCTTCGCCCTTCATTGAGACAAGTATGTTGTTTAAAAATGTGTTTAAATCCTCTTTGTAAGCAGTGTTACTCAGACAGAACTCAGCACTAATATGCATATTATTATCTTTATTAGCAGCAAACTGAAACACACACACACATTCCCCAAAGCAGCAAACAGCGTACATTATAAACAACACATACATGAGATCATGAGCGGAAAACAAACTGTTTCTGTATGATTAGCGTCACTCCTGCTCAACATCATAGACAGTGCACTCTGTCATGTACTATAGTAGAGGGCGGTGTCACTAGCTTTCTGACATGCATGCTGAAATATTAGTGAAATTCACAAGCACAGTCTCTGTTGATCCACTGGTTCCAGCTGCAGATGTTCAGTTTCTCTCACACACACTGAGCACATGCCAAAGCTCATATCTTTTAGAGATGTTTAGCAGAATGTTCACGCTGCTCTTTTTCATGCAATGAAAGGCAAGGCAAGGCAAGTTTATTTAT